TCCCTGAACCACCCAGCACCTGACCTACCTCCTCACAGAAGTCCCAGCTCTGACTGGCGTAAATGTTCTTGGATGCTCCAAACCTGAACGACAAGAGGACACACAACTGGTTTTACTCCATCAGCTGCAGGGCAGAGCCAGAGGAGTTCAATCCTCATGGGTGATGACAGGATATGAAAGGGACAGGGGCCCTCCAGTGGAGGTGGTGCTAAACAAGCTGGCCTGACCTCGCCTCCCCAAGAGCGGAGAGCAGTCTGCTGGCTCCATCTGTTCCAAAAGAGCCAAGCCTGTTTGCTTTCGAATGATAAGGCAGCAGCAGAAACAAGCAGAGTTTCTTGCTCTGAATGCAAACCTCTACTGGCCACATGCATTTCCCACAAGGACAATGTCACGTGGTGACACGCGCCATGTCAGTGCAAAATAAACGCTTTCTAGGAGGGATCAGGGAATGGTTTTAAAACTGCAGAGAACTGGGGCACCAGCTCTCTTGGTCTTGGAGCTACTCGAAGATCTACTTCTGCCTCTTTCTCCCCTCCCCTGATAACAAGAGGAGAACAGGCTCTTCCCAAGTACTTTGTAAAGACCAACTGAGAGGCACTGCATGGCCTCTCCTGCAGAAGGGAGAGTCCCTGCTCTCGTGGGGAACCATCTTGTGGACACAATATTTTTGCAACAGACATCCCAGCGCGCCCCATCTCACTGCAGAGGTGCAATGTAACCAAAACCAGAAGAGCACACCTGTAAAAAATTGTAGCTAGGGCTTTAGCCACTGACAAGGGATCTTTCTTCTGCAGAGGAGCAGCCTCCACCCACTTAGTGAAGTAGTCGGTCACAATGAGGACATGTGTATTGCTCCGGCTCGTCTCAGGAAAAGGTCCTGCATAAATAAGTGTCAAGAAAAATCAGTGTGATGCCGTAATATCACCCAAATGAGGGAAGTCAGAAACCCAGCCCAGCAAAACAATCACTGCAAAAATGACCATGACTCTCTTCTGCAATGTCATTTGGCCAGTACCTTTCTGTGACCTTTGTAAGCAAAAATACACCCATCAGTCTCAATTCCGGGAAGTAACGCATGCCCACAATTCCCATTGTGTGTGGGGAGGGAGCCGAGCCAGTCACACGGATCAGGTTGCACCCTGGTGAGGCTTCTGTGGCCTCCTTGGCACCTCCTCACTGCAGATGCAGGCAGCTTTCACTCACGTGTGGCCGTAAGTCTGCCATGCTTCCCGACGGCTGGCATGGAAGCCTTGCAAAGCCTGTCTGTCAGCCGCCAACACTCACCATGGATGTCTAATCCCAGCACTTCCCAGGGTGATTCCACTTTGACAGGTCTTGCTTTCCGTGACACATTCTTGTTGTGCTCTGCGTTCTGGCACGTTTCACACATTTTGATCTGGACAGGGAAAAGACATATCAAAGGACTTTAAAATATGCTGACGAATTCTGTCAGATTCAGAGTGGACAGGTCATGAAGGGATGAGAGGGACAGCACATCTGAGCCGCTTCCTTCTACCCAGTAAAAATAGCAGGGCGCGAGAAAAAGAGGACAAAACACAACAGGCCGACACAGCTCACCTTTCACAAAACTCACCTGACAGCTTTCTCTGACACAATAATCAACTTTCTCAATATGGCCTATAGCTAAGGCATTTCTCACCCTGTTTTTAGGCAAACATTTATTGTATTTTAAACTTCTACTGCTGGCTAGAAAAATCATCAGCCCTAGGATGCTGGAGGAACACGGGCTGCTCGGACCATGCAATGCAACCACACTTCTTCAAACCACACTGTTGCAGAGCCCTGCTGCAGGGAACTTTCAGCAATAAAACAGGTGAGGCAAAGCAGCCGAGGAGAGCCAGCGGAAACGCTGAGCTCCTCCTGTGACAATAGTTTAGGGAACTGGGCAGCTCCGGCAGGAATCCCACCTGCTCAAAGCTATACCCAGTAACAGTCGTTTGAAACAATCCCACCTTCCCACGCTGGCCAAAGCTGCCCTGCACGAGGAGGCCTACCTGCGCAGGTTTCCTGGCGCTCGGGGGAAAGACATCCAATCTATCCAGCTGTCTCAGGACGTTCCAACACTTTCACCTGCAGAGTTACTTAGTGCGTGGCTTCAAAGCAACAGGCACTAGAAACGACATCATCCCTGCATCAGGGCTCTTCTAGCTGCTCACTTGGGACTGCTGCCTGAACGTCCTGGGAAATACTCGTGTCATTGACACGGTCAACGCTCTCAACTTACCCAGTCCACAACATCCTTCACAATCCCCAGCCAGTAGTACCGGCTCTGAATCCGGTGCACTGTCTTTTTCTGGCCTAGATGGTTCCCAATTTCGGTGAAATGGCTTTCCAGAAAGACTTGCCGCCTCCGTTCAGGATCCACAATCACCTCGCGCTTTTCCTCCTTCTTGGGTCCCACATAGTAGAGGCAGCCGCCTGCAAATGCGAGACGTTTATCTAAAACAACACACCCTCACGGTCATTTCAGCTACTCGATCCTAGCGAGTGGATAATTTTCTACAGCAGGAAAAACAGGTGAGACACAACGAAGGGGGACCGTTGCCTTGGGAGCTTCTGTAACGCCTCTGAAAGGTGCTAAGCTGGAATAATCCCCAAATAAACCCAGAGACCTCTTTTCTGCACCCAGAGCTGAGCAATATCCTCTGCTGAGATGCCCAGAAGCGGTGCGGAGGCACGGAGGCGGCAGGAGCGGGGCAGCGGGTGCCCGCAGCGCGGCCTCCCACGGCCCCT